TCATAGGACCTGCATGGACAAAAGCCATGTGGAGTAGGGTGGAAGAGCTGACTGGATCCATCCCAAAGCTTATTTATCATTTTGCATCAGTGTGCTTTGTTGTATGACAAAAGTAAATGGGCATGAAGTTCTTGTTGCTTCTTTATTTGTAAACTTAGGTTTACACCATTCAGTGTCCATGTTGATGATGCAGTTTCTTTGCAGGCCAGGGACCTAGTGTCATCCATGGCGGCACTGGGACTCTCCCAGTTTGTATGAGCTCCCACACATCAAGCAGGCCACATGGTGGATATTACTTTTGGCGCAGGGATAGATGTGTAATTGATAGCCATGGAGGCAGTGCCATGGTCAGACCACTTTGCCCTGAAGGCCCGGTTGTGCACCCCAACCCCTCCCTATTTAGGTGGTGAGCTAATTTATGCCCGCCTGTGGAGTCTAATGGATCTGATTGGTTTCCCGAATGCTCTGCAGGATCCGATGCCCCCTCGCAACTTGTTGTATGAGCTGGTGGAAGACTGGCATAGCCATCTCTTGGAAACCATTGATGAAATTGCTCCCCGGCGCCATCTTTGTCCCCACACCGAACAAGCTCTGTGGTATACTCCGGCGCTTTGGAGGATGAAGTGGGAGCTAAGATGGTTAGAGCAAGGGTAGCAGGGTACTTGTGATGAAGCTGCAACAGCATCTTTTAGGGCATTTATGAAGGCCTATGAGATGGCAATGAAGGCCACGAAGAAGGAATGCTATGTGGCCTCCACTCTGTCTGCTAGCTCTTGTCCAGCCCAATTGTTTAGGACAATTAGGTCATTAACTTCCCTACCACAAGGTAAACAAAACGACAAGGAACTTGTTATTGGCTGTGAGGCATTTTTGAGGTATTTTCTGGATAAAGTCTTGTCGCTCCACCAGGACCTCCCAGCCATGTTTGGAACAGTATGTGAATTGGAAGTTCCTTGGCCATATTCCGGTCCTCTGTTAGACCGATTCAGCCGACTCTCCCAGGAAGAGGTTGACAAGACCCTGGCAGCTGTGAAGCCCAGTACCTGCCTCTGATCTGTGGCCCTCTTGGCTTGTTAAAGCCAGTAGAGATGGAATTTGGGCTTCCTTGGGAGATATTATCAACTTGTCCCTACCACCAGGGACATTCCCAGGGTGCCTCAGGGAGGTGATGGTGCAACCACTTTTGAAAAAACCATCTCTGGACCCAACAGTCCTAGCCAACTAATGCCCAATATTGAACCTTCCGTTTCTGGGTAAGGTACTTGAGAGAACAGTAGCTGAGCAGCTCCAGGTGTTCTTGGATGACTCCTCTATCCTGGATCCATTTCAGTCTGGCTTCTGCCCAGCCCTCATGGACAACCTCTGGAGGCACCTGGATCAAGGCGAGTTGGCGCTGCTGTTGCTGCTTGATCTAACTGCAGCGTTCAACAGGGTTGGCTATGACCTTTTAACGCAGCACCTTGTCAATGTGGGGATACAGGGAACTGGCTTACAGTGGCTGTCCTCCTTTTTCCATGGTCAGGGATAGAGAGTGGCTCTTGGGGAGAGGATTTCACCACGTTACCCTATGGTATGTGGCGTCCCGCAAGGGGTGATCCTCTCTCTAATATCATTTAACATCTATATGTGCCCCCTTGCCCTGTTAACCTGGGGGCTTGGGCTGGGCTGTCACCAGTACACTGATGACACCCAGCTGTATCTGTTGATGGATGGACAGCCGGACTCTGCCTTGGATATCTTGGCTAGGGTGTTAGGGGCTGTGGCTGACTGGTTACAACAGAGCCGGCTGAAACTTAATCCAGCTAAAATGGAGGTCCTATTCCTGAGTCATTGGGGTGGGGGGGAGAATCCAACTCCCAGCCCTCTGTGGGCAACTTTTGATGCTGGCACTGATGGTGAGGAGCTTGAGGGTGTTCCTGGATTTATTTATTTATTTATTTCTTATTATTTTCAATACAATACAAAAATAAACATTTGCATAAAATGGAATAGATATTTGGTAATAAGGATGCCTTCCTTTCTATGACGTTACCAGATCTTTCGTCCCATGATGTAGCAACAGTGATCCATGTAATGGTCACTTCCAGGCTTGATTACTGTAACTCGCTCCACGCGGGCCTGTGCTTAAACCTGATCTGGAAGCTCAGCTGGTGCGAAATGCAGCGGTGCACCTGCTGACGGGGATGTCTGTGTGAGTGCACATTCAGTCAGTGCTGTGTCGGTTGAGTACCAAATCAGGTTTAAGGTTATGGCATTGACCGTTAAGGCCCTATGTGGCCAGGGACCAGCATACCTGCGAGACCATCTCTCTTGGAGCCTTGTGCTCTTCAGACCAGCACCATTTAGTAGTCTCTGGCCCGAAAGACATCTGCCTTGCCTTAATCAGGGCCAGGGTCTTTTTAGCCCTAGCCACTGCCTGGTGGAACACACTCCCAATTGAGGCCATCAGGGCCCTGCGGGATTGTTACAGTTCCACAAGGCCTGAAAGACGGACTTGTTCCGCCAGGCCTTTGGCTGAGGCGGTAGGCGTCAAATAACATTAGCCTCCCCTGCTTCAAGTGCTCCATGGCACCACTCACATCATGAGCGCCAGGTACAGTGCTTTGACTCCAGCAGAGTGATCCACCACCCCTCCAGGCATTAGCTCAGCATGCACTGGAATGGGACAAACCACCGAGCTGCCATTAGGTTTAGATACATCCTGAGTGTCTTCTTTAAAAAATTTAATTCTGCTTTAATTAACGTTTTAATGTATGAGGAATTGTTCATGGTTTTATGACTTGTTGTAAGCCGCCCTGAGTGGGGTAGGGCGGGATAAAAAATGCAAAAATATGTAAAATAATGCTGTGAAATGGCTTATAGCTGTTTTCTCAGTTAGGAAAGCTTATGGTCTCTATGTGGAAATAAGACACAACAAAGAATATCATTGTTAGGGTCAAAGGTGTTGCAAGTGAATTCTTTTTAGGATTTAAAGGGTTTAAAAATTAAACCATTGCTTTATTGGAGATCAAAGGTGTTCATAAAAATGTAGGGTGTTTAGCACTTGATAATGTCCTGCCATTCTGCTGGAAGTAGTAGTTTATCTTTTAAAGGCAGCTTATTTTTCAGGAACTCCTTTGAAGTCTGGACTCCTTTGTGCATATTGTTTAGTTAGCTTAGTTGTTGCTATCATAGAAAGCATTTTTAAAAGGCTTACAATAATATCTAAAATTAAGACAGACTGGCATCCAGTTTTTTTTTTTTTTAATACTCTGGGACAGGATGCAGGTGTTATGTCTCCATCTGTTCCATTCTCCTTCCAATCTTGTTTTGGGGTAAAATTAAGGATTCTGCTGGCCACTATAGGTGGAAAACTGTTAAACAAGTGAATCAGTGAAGGAACGTAGCAGCAGACACAGTACTTGTGTCCTATTTTGATATCATTGACCTGACAACCTTAATATCATTATATACCTTAACATTTTACTGAGCCCTGCACTACTGCTTTTAACTGACATAAAAGAAGTCAGCAACTGGAAGCCCATGGGCCAAATTGGTTTCCCTTAGAGGGGAAGTAGAATAGTGTGTTGCCAAGTCTCATTGCCATTGATTGACAGAGAAATTCATACTCTTTCCTTTTTTTTTGAAAAGAGGTACAAGTGGGCAGCATCTGTACCAATGAGACTTGTCAGCAGATTTTTTTTTGGGGGGGGGGTCAAGGGTCAAGGCATAAAGTCTTTGACATCTCCCATTCTGTTGCTGAGTGGCTCTCAGATGAAGCTAATTGCTGAGCAGGGGTGTATAACATCACTGTATCTTGCATTATTTCCCCCCATGCCATTTTGTTTTTGCATTGATGAAGGAATCGCTTTAAATTTAAATTGCCCTGACCTGGATAGTCCAGGCTAGCCCGACCTCATCAGATCTCAGAGGCTGAGCAGAGTCAGCCCTGGTTAGTATTTGGTCGGGAGACCACCAAGGAAGTCCAGGGTTGTGACGCAGAGGCAGGCAATGGCAAACCACCTCTGAACATCTCTTGAAAACCTGGCAGATTCACTATGTCAGCTGTAACTTTGTGACAAAAACATTATAAATTTTTGTACTTAAAAATTTGATTTAAATCCCTTATTTCCTTCTACCAGATGAGAACTTATAACTTTCTAACCTCAAAACAAATCTTTCTGAAATAAAGTGGCCTTACATTTTATTAACTCATGTATTCCCAGTGACAGATATCTGCTTCATTACATTCTTTCCCCACATTCATGACTTTATGACTAAGATAGGAAGTGACGGTTCCTTTATGTCTCTAAGGACAAACCATTCCACAGTATTGGACCTACAACTGAAAATGCCCCTGCCTGAGACCAAGTAAACTTCTTGAGAGAAGGCACAGCAAGGAGACAGTTATCCAAGGAATGCAGTTGGTGCACAGGAGTGTATTGGGAGATGTGTTCTGTTAACGGTATGAGGGCTCCAGGCCATGAAGTACTTTGAAGGTATAAACCAGCACATTTAGTTGGCTCTGGAAGCTAATGAGCAACAGGTAAAGCTGTTGGAATGCAGCAGTTATGTTTCAAATGGCTTGGCCCAGAAAATTATTCTGGTCACAGCATTTGGTACCAATTGAAGCTTTTGTGGTCATCCTCAAGAGCAGCCCATTGTAGTGCATATTACAGTAGTCCAGCAAGGGGGTCACAGAAGCATGGATCAGTGTGGCTGACTCAGCAATTCGTGGGGAAAGCCTGTTAAAATAAGGTGTCCTTAGCAACAGGGTAAACCTGTTTTGTATCAGTTAGGCTGTTTACAAATGTCTTATGGCTATAATATTGTAAGCGTTGTTCAGTTTTCTAAATTAATGTGCTTTTTATTACAGAGTTTTCTTGGAGGCTTGTTTGGTCCCATTTGTGAAACTGATGTTGTTCTTAATGACGCAGACTCACGAAAAACTGCTGAAATCAAAACAGAAGATGGTAAAATTGAAAAGCATTATCTCTTCTATGATGGAGAATCTGTTTCAGGAAAGGTGAATTCCCATTTCCCCCTGTTTAAAAATCTTTATTTGAAAGAACATGCGGACCAGAAACATTCACTAATCAGGTCACCGTATCTTGGGTTAACTGTGCCGGTTAATTTTATTTTGCTCTCAAAAGCGGGATTTAAATTAGAATGTATGTCCCAAATCCAGATATGAGAGTGAACTCAACTGATTTATGGATGGCTGTCAGTCAGGACAGAAAGGCTGATATCTGCTGGTTCTTTCTTCCCAGAACTATTTGTTTAAAATATTTATCTCTCCCACCTCTCCAAAATCTCGCTCCAGGTGGCAAACAACAAAATAATAAATACAAATATAAAATGAATTCTGACCACTGGAAAAATTGTAAAGAGTACTTGGCAGTAAAATCATCTGCCATGAGGCCATCTCAGCTGTAAAACAATCTAATCGGCAACATAAAATAATTCACACCAGAAGTCAGGCTGTAAAGCATCACATGGGGGCAGCAGCATTGTTGAAATGCCAAAGACTGGGATAGAGAAGGTTCTTATCTAAAATCCTGGCTGAAGAGAAACGGTTTCATCTGTTGCCTAGAAGCCAATAAAGTCAGTGCTAATCAAGTTTTAAAGGGGAGGACATTCTATACTTGGAACATCATCACCAGTGAGGAAGGCCTGTTTTTAGACACTAGGGCATGATTTCTCTCTCTCTTTCTTTTAGCATAGCCATTAGCGGGGTGGGGGGTGGGGACAGGAATGATTCCTCCTCCCAGCCTTCCTTTTTTGCCATTTGTCCTTCAGTTGATGTAAGAGGCATCCCTGGCATAGAGCAGGATAGGGGCAGTTGTGGCCAGGTCCCCCACTGGAGTCCCCTGCCCATGGGACTTTTTGAAGGTCTCGTGGCTGGTTGAAGGTAGGGGGAGGTGGGAAAGGTCTGCATCAGCAGGTACCTTCCTCTCACGTTTTGCTGGCTTCAGCGCTCAGTGATGATTCCAAACTAATAATCTGTCCTGCTCAACTGGATTTAGTTCTTCCCTGTACTGCTAAAACAGTATTTGAACACTTGAATGCTTTTATTAAAAAGAGCCACTGGGATCTCCGTTGACTTTTGGGGAAAAGAACAAAGTTATTCACAAACTAAAGAACTACTAAATGTGGCCAGAAAGAATTTAGTTTTTGTACCCCACTTTTCGCTACCCGAAGGAGTCTCAGAGTGGCTTACAATTGCCTTCCCTGAGGTAGGCGGGGCTGAGAGAGTTCTGAGAGAACTGTGACTGGCCCAAGGTCACCCAGCGGCCTTCATGTGGAGGAGTGGGGAATCAAACCCAGTTCTCCAGATTAGAGTCTGCTGCTCATAACCACTACACCAAACTCAAGTAATTTGCATATAAGCAATGCTTAGTGTTGTTTCCACAGCTAATAGCTTAAGTCTGTTTAAACTTGGTGTCAAAATTGCAGACAAACAAAAAAGTCTGTGGGCATTCTAGTTCATACAGTAAGTTTCAGATGTGCATAAGGAACATTTACACGGCTGCCTCCTTTTCTTCTATGTCAGGAAGTATGGAATGGAATACTGGAGGGGGGGGGAATCTCTTGCTGCAAAGATAAGATCACAGTGGCTTCTGTGTGTAGACTGGATGTCCTAGATCAGAATGTTTGTATTATTCTGTCTCACTGTTCTTCAGAGCCCCTTTGAAAAGCTACACAGAGGTAGAAGAAAACTGGCATATTTGCCTCATTCATATGCTCCAAAACATTTTTGTTTTTTTCTTTCCTTTCTTTTGTTTTACTAACTCGTGTGAACTCTTGTGTCAGCCACTTCATTGCATTCTTTCCCCACAGTCATCACTTTCTTATGACTTTTTTAGCCTTGTAAAAGGCTTTCATTAAGGAGTAATGGAAGAAAGTGCTGATGACGCCCAGTAGAAACTTCTCAGAGGTGGGACCAGACAGCCATCTAGTGTAGCTGTTGGAGAAGCGAAGGCTGTCGTCTGTATTTAGTCTTGGTTCAGAAAATGTGTGTGTGCCTGTGCTAAATTGGGGGGGTGGAAGTCTAATTAGTGTCTTGGTTTTTGCAGGTGAACATAGTCTTTAAACATCATGGAAAGAGGCTAGAGCATCAAGGAATTAGAATTGAATTTGTAGGACAAATTGGTGAGTTTTAGAATTGTGGTTGTGCATAAATGGTTGTGCAGTACCCTGAACCAGGGTGGTGAGCATTCATCGCCTGCGCTTGTCAACAGGTCATTGGGGTAGCCAAAAAACAAGTATCTCAAGCATGTGTGCTTTGAGATAAATAGTGCTTGAGATGGGGTACTACTCTCATTTTGCCTTACTTTTAAAATAAGTACTGTTTGCATCTAATTATTTTAGGGAATGTACCCCAGAACGTTATGTACATCTTTACATTAAGGACATGACCTAGGGCACGGGGTGGTTCTTTTGGCTAATCCCAGAGTCTAAGGTGCAGTAAGTAAAAATTATACCACTGACTGAAGTAGCTCGGTACTTTGTTTAACTTCCTTTGTACAAGCTTACAAAACTTGTATATATATTGTTCATGAGCAGAAGTTGGTCAGACAGAAGTGTCTATTTCTAGCCTGATTACGTTATGGGAAATATAAAATTGTGTGCATTTTATCTGTATTGAACATCCTTGGTATTTTTTAAAACTATTATATCAGAGGTCATTTCGGGGGGGATCGCGGGGGATCGCAGTTCCCCCGGGTGAGGTACGGGGGGCAGGGCACATGACGAAGCCCCACCCCCTGCTTCCGGCCGCCCTGCTTCCGGCCCTCATTCAGCCAGGAGGAGGCAGGAGAAGAGGGAGGGTAAGTTGCTTCCTCCCTGCCTCTCCCCACCCCTGCCTGCCTGGGGCCAGGGAGGGCCTTTGCGGGGCTTCCTTGCACTCCCGCCGGCCTTGCAGGTCCACCGCCGGGCCCCTCATGGGGCTCGGCAGTGGAGCTGCAAGGCCGGCGGTGGCGACCGGGACCGTTGGGGGCGGGGTGTGTGGCCTTATGACACACTCCCGGTGATGTCAGGGGGTGTGGCCTTATGACACACTTCTGGTGATGTCAGGGTGTGTGGCATATGCTAATGAGTTATGCTAATGAGTTCCCCTAGCTCTTTTTCTATGAAACGACCCCTGTATTATATAAAGACTTACTCTGTTAGTCAAGCTTGCTGTGTCAGCAGGGTGGTGGATATGGAGCTGAATAATTAACAAAATCATTGTATTATTTAATTAAATGGAGAACCAGCCAAAATATCTCAAACTATTAGGTAGGTTTTCAGGTTCCCTGGAATTCTTCATCAGGCAGGAATATAAAAGTTGGTGGAGGAGAAGGATGTTGTTGAGCATGATGAAGCATCATTTTTTAGCTGATTGCTAGTCTTTAGATGCAGCATACAATGGCACTGTAAATAGCTTCCTGAGCTGAATAACACCCTGTGACTATTGACTTGACTGGTTTTAGAAGGGTGTAACTCTGCTTGGAGTTATGTTATTGGTGTGTAAGAAAGATCTAAGATTGCTGGGATGAAGAAGCAACAGCTGATAACATTTTGAAAAATATAAACTCTGATTGCTCTGAAGCAGAAATGAGAATGCACAAACTCTAATCAGGCAGAGAACACAATAGGGATGCCAGCATCCAGGTGGGACCTGTATATTCCTCAGAATTACAGCTCATCTTCAGACTACAGCAATCAGTTACCCTGGAGAAAATGGATGCTTTGGAGGGTGAACTCTATGGCCTTATACCCCACTGAGGTCCTTGTCCTCCCCAGGCTCCATCCCTAAATCTCCAGGAGTTTCCCAAACGATCTGGCAACCCTACATGCCCCTCCCCTTCCAGTGGCTACGGGGGATCTGGCAACCCTAGAGCACAAGCAAAGCAAAATGTAGGTTACGTGTTATGTAAGCAGTATTGACTCTCAACCTAATGTATCAAGCCTTTTTCTTTACACGGGCTCTGTCAAGGCAGGCAGCAAAAGTATTCTGATTTCTGAAGTATGGCTCCATAGCTTAGTACCCCCCCTTCCCTTTTTGTGAAACAGCCAGTCTGATAAAGAGTTCTGGAGAACTCCAAAGCTTGCTCTCTACACTGTGATAGTCGTGTTAGTCTTAATGAAATTTATTGTGTTACCAAGACATTGGATTGATGCTCAAGGTATTACTATTACACCTAACGTTAGAATCGCATGCAAAAACTTAGATTTCCGCCGTTTAAAGAGCCTTGTGTGCTCCAAGAAAATATGTGGTGTTCTTTTTCTGTTTGTCTTAATTTTTTAGAACTTTTCAATGACAAGAGCAATACTCATGAGTTTGTAAACCTAGTTAAAGAGCTGGCCTTACCTGGTGAATTAACCCAAAGCAGAAGTTATGACTTTGAATTTATGCAAGTTGAGAAGCCATACGAATCCTACATTGGTGCCAATGTCAGATTGAGGTATGGGCTCTAAAGAGCAGTTTTTCCTCTCCAGCTACCGTTACAACAGTCTTTATCTGTAGTGCATTATTGGGAGGGAGACAGTAATTTTTTTTTCAAATAAGCATTCTTGTTTGGATTTGTAAGAATTCTTTTCTGGCTTTCAGAAACTTAGTATAACATCTCGTGAATCAAAGTGCTGCAGAGATGTAGCACTGTGCAACTTGCATTTCATAGGCAAAGGTGGCAAACAATGAGCCTTATCAAGAAACTTGAAGCCTTTGTTTAGAATAAATTCTTCAAATCAGATTATTGTTTCGCTTTGCTTAGCTTACATAAACTTACATTTACCTTAATTATAATTACGGTATTTGGACAGAGGAAGTGTGGAAGCTGAATTTTATGATGCAATCATCTAGTGTTGGTTGAGTTCATAGAGGTCACCATGTTGGAGAGCTAGTTCTGTATAAGTCTATACATGTAAAGCATTCTGTGTGTGTAATTTCTACCAATATCCTTCTCTTTTAAAAGGTATTTCCTTAAAGTGACAATAGTAAGAAGATTGTCAGACTTGATAAAAGAGTATGATCTTATTGTACACCAGCTTGCAACATATCCAGATGTTAACAACTCTATTAAAATGGAAGTCGGCATTGAAGACTGTCTGCATATAGAATTTGAATACAACAAATCCAAGTAAATATGACTCTGAATTAGCCCAAGGTGTGATCTTGCACAATGCAGCCAGGGTAGATGTCCTTAATGAAAAGGGGAGAACACACAGCAATGGGTACCAGCAGATTGCTAAAGGTTTGCATATCACATATTTGGGTCACAGTTGCCTGTCTGGTTTTCCAGTGTTGAGGCTTTCTGCCTTTTTAACACCCCTACTTGTAGGTGTTCTACTAATAAGGATCCATTTGCATCAGCTGGCTAAGTAGCAGAGAGACTGCTCATCTGATGGTGTTTGCATACCCAGTCTTGCTTATCAGTGGCATATTTAGACCTCTTCTTCAGTACAAGCATTCGTTCTTTAGTGTATTTGAAGATAGGCTCAACGTAGCTCCTAGAAACATGCTGCTGAACTGAAAAATCAAATTTGTTTGTAGTGGAAGGCAATTCTTACAAGATAGTCCAGTAAAATAGAAGTCAGTTCAGTAGAGGACGGTATTTCTTTCTTTCAGTAGAGGACGGTATTTTTGCAGTAACAATGCCAATATGTACCATAGCTTCAGGTGGGTAGCCATGCCATGCTGGTCTGAAACAGCAGAACAAAGTTTGAGTTATATGCTTTTTGTGCATGCACACGTCTTCAGACATGAAAGCTTATACTCAGAATAAAACTTTGTTGGTCTTAAGTTTTGTTCCAATATTTACCATGTATTTCTGTAAACTAGTTAAAATAGTCATACAAATTACAGATTTCCACAAGCCTCCTTCTTTTGTCTCCTTAAGGTATCACTTAAAGGATGTGATTGTTGGAAAAATTTACTTCCTCTTAGTAAGAATAAAGATCCAGCATATGGAACTGCAGTTGATCAAAAAGGAGATCACTGGAATTGGTAAGAAGAACAAGACATGGGGAACTGTCCGCTTTGAGGAATATTTTGATGTCAAAACATTCTGGGTTTAGATTTGGTAATAGATTTGATTTTTTAATTTGCCAAAGAATCTTGTGCAGTAAAGGTTAACTTTAAAACTGTAATATGTTGTCTAAAGCTACAATAATAAGTATGTCAGTGATTTGTTCAAGTAGTGACCAGTACTCATTTGCAGATAATCAGTTCCTTGAAAGTGGCTTGTGAATCAGTGTCAGAAGTAGGCAACTGTACAATTACATGGTCTAAAATTTTTGTTAAAGATGATTAGACATTTTGAAAGTACAGGAAGAGGTTTTAAAACTTAGCAAAATCTCAGAGTTACCGTCTCATAGAGGTGGCTGGTGGTGATTTGGGAAAGCAGTGAATAAAAGGCACCATGGGAGGTGCTCTTGTTTGCTCTGGCAGAACCGTCTACAAAAATTACCCACCACATTGTTTGGGCCTTTTATTGCTTTAACACAGTTCAGACTGATGAGGCGTACAAATATTTTGTTCAGTGCTTACTACCAAGGGATTGTATACCTGTTAGAAGAAAATTCTGGTTTTATGATTATGTGTGTAAGTAAGAGCACACTTTCCTTTAGAAGCTCCATTGCTGCTGTAGCTGTCAGTGGAGCGTAGCAGCAGTGGTGCTTCCAGATAGCAAATTTCCCTGCAATGGCCATTCCCATTGGGGGCTTTTTCAAGGCTTTTTTAACCAGACATTGGCAGTGATCCACCACTAAATCAGTATTGTTATGACAGCTTCCAGGTAAAAAACAATAACCCTTCAAAGATCCCCCCCCTAGTGGTAAGGGGGGGATGGCTGCCATGTGGGTGGAACCATAAAAATATGGACTTTGCTGCCCACATAGCATCCGTTCAGGCCTTGCTGTGAAATTTCCCAAAACTTAGCAGCACATCAGGTTTTGGAAACACTGGAGAAAAGCTGGGGAGAATCTGGGAGGTGCACAAATACTCCACAGTGTTGTGGGGAAGTAGGTATAAAACCCTGCTTTCCAACAGCATTGAACCCAGGGCAAATAAACCATGTGGAAAATATCTAAGTAAGTGAAAGTATGCTTGCCAAGCTAAAACCACTGTGGCCCTCTGGCTTGCAGACATCACTAGCTAAACTAAACTATAGATGGAATATTGAAAAACGAGTTCAAATTACTTGGACATAAACAGCTTGATCCCTGTTCAACCAGGACCTAGTACCACAACAGAGACGGAGACCATCGCAAAGTATGAAATAATGGATGGTGCACCAGTCAAAGGTAAGCTGGTGCCTGTCATCAGTAGTGGGAAGTGCTTCTGTGCTAAATTGCAAGGTGTCTTTGATTGGATGTTTATTTTTATGTGCATGAAACATCCTCTTCTGGAAGTTGAAACTGGTACCAATAGCAAACCAAATGTTCTTAGTCTCTTAAATGAATAAGGGGTCCCTCATCCAGGAGCTGAGTCTCCTTTCACTTAACTTCATTCCTTTTCCTCATGTTGGTGATCTCTTCTCCCTGTTTGGTGTAGTGGTTAAGTGCGCGGACTCTAATCTGGGAGAACCGGGTTTGATTCCCCACTCCTCCACTTGCACCTGCTGGATGACCTTGGGCAAGCCATAGTTCTGACAAGAGCTGTCCTTGAAAAAGAGCAGTTTCTGTCAGAGTTCTCTCAGCCCCACATACCTCAAAGGGTGTGTGTTGTGGGGAGGGGAAGGGAAAGGTGTTTGTAAGCTGCTCTGAGACACCTTTGGGTAATGAAGGGCAGGGTATAAATCCAATCTCCTCCTCCTCCTCTTCTTCTTCTTCTGTTGTGCACATTGCACCATTAAAGTGTGGTCTTAAGATTCAAGTAAGGAAGCAGGGAAGATGGGATCAAAGGCACTAGGCTCCATAGTGTAGGGGTGCAATGCACTAGTCTTAACATGTGGAAAGGGAAGTACTCTTCAGACTGTTCTGAAAATTGCAGAAGTTACTTGCATTTGACCGTTCACACAGTAATCCCTTCTCTGGCGACTTCCTCCTTGCATCATAAACTCCAGTAGGGAAAAGGTAAGGTCAGGCACAAAAGTCATACTTGCAGTACTACAGCTGTGTCTCTTTGTAATACTTCCTTGGTTAACGAAATGCAATTCCGAGTTTCATGTATCATATGAGGCAGGCTGTTTAGCGAGAATGGTTATTTGTCAGGGATCTGTTTACTAGTCTAGGGCTGAGAGGTGCGGCTGCAGTGGACTGTGAAGCAGCTCTGTATATATCTGCTCAAGTATTGCAGAGAAGTTTAGTCATGGAAAAATGTATTTCCAGGTGTAGTGCATCCATAAGATAAGTGACTTCAGGATGATGAATCCATTCTAACTTTTGTTTTTTTAGAGTACTTAGGTAATAATATCCATGGCAATGTGCTGTTTTTCTCCATGAAACTAACAGTGCCACAAGGTTACTTATTCTACTGAATTTCTGATTAAATGTAAAACTTACTAAGTATTACTGTACAGTACTTGGTCAGTGGTTAAGATGCTGAACTGCAGGCTGGAAGGTCGGTAGTTCAGCAGTTCGAGACCCAAGTGCTGCATGACGGAATGAGCTCCCGTCTCTGTTCCAGCTCCTGCCAACCTAGTAGTTCGAAAGCAAGAAATTGCAAGTAGATAAATAGGTACCGCTTCGGTGGGAAGGTAAGAGCATTCCATGCGCCTCGGCATCTAGTCATGCCGGCCACATGACCACGGAAACGTCTTTGGACACTGCTGGCTCTTCGGCTTGGAAACGGAGATGAGCACCGCAACCCTAGAGTTGGATTCGACTGGCTTTTGAGCAAGGGAAACCGAAACCTTTACCTTACTTGGTTGACTAGTGGTTAGAGTTCAAGGGATGGTTGATCCCACATTGTTGCTTTCTCTGTAATGTTCCAATTTTAGTATATGTGCTGCTGAAGCAAGCACACATCATTGCTTTCTAACTTATACCCTTTTTTAGCAAATAAGATTACCTGGAACTTTAGCTGAGTTGACTGTTTGTCCCATGGATGCTAGTGGGACAGCTATCTAAGGGATGCCCATGCACTATCATGCATGCACCCAAATATTTTGCCATTTTAATACCTTCTAGTCTTCTTGAATTCCCAAAAACTCTGGGTGAGAGTGGTTTGAAGAAAAATTCCCTTTCCCCACTTCCTCCAGTTGACCTTACACTTAAGGATATACAGTGCTTTTAAAACCTTGGAGTATGTAAAGATTTCTTGGAAGCATCTTTTGAAAAGGAGCTGCAAGACCTCTTGGAATCATCCCCAGCATGTCACTTAGCTGAAATGCTTTGGAGTTATTTAATGCCTACTACATCATCAAACTCCTCAATTTGTTAAAACTTCCTATCAGTAAAAAATAACCGTGATTTATTTTCTTTAAGGTGAATCTATTCCCATAAGACTGTTTTTGGCAGGATATGATCCAACTCCTACAATGAGGGATGTAAACAAAAAGTTTTCAGTAAGATACTTCTTGAATCTCGTGCTAGTAGATGAGGAGGACAGACGGTACTTCAAGCAACAGGTATATAATGCTGCGGGTTCTAGTGTGGTGGATTTCTTACGAGTTGCCTTTGGGTTAAAAATATTCAAGTCAACTGACAATGTTGTTCTGTGCAGAGATATGGCCATTAAAGCCCATTGATCTCAAAAGGCTTAAACTGGAATAACTGCATATGATTGTAATGAAACCAACAACCAATACAATACCAAACAGTAAAATATAGTGCACTAAACCAGCAATCAAGTTTACTTAGAAGCAGTTTAATGAGGAGTAGGAAGTCGGAGTTAGGAGCCTGACACTAATTCCAAACAGTAAAGTGAAGCCAGAAGAACTAGGTTGCCATGCAGCAAGAAACTCATTCATACTTGTTCTCAGGGCAGTTACAGGTGTGTAATCTTTAAAATGAAATATAGAAAGATGAGTAAATGGATCGTATTTTTTAATATATCTTTGAACGGATAAGAAGGGGAGGCAAGAGGGCGCAAACCAGTTGTATAGCCAATAAAAATACCCAGCTGTGGTGGGAAACTTAATTTGGAGCACTAGAAACTTTGTATCTGATCCATTATACTAATTAAAGTGACCCTGTTGGCATCTCTCAGAACTCTCTGGAGCAAGTCAGGTTGTAGGGATCTGAATCGTATGACTGACTCTGAAAAATATCAGAGTATTTAACTCTCTTCCGGTTTTAGATAGTTTTATACAAAAGCCATCTGTAAGCAGAGTAGAAGCTTTTGAGTGCTAGGATGGATCCAAACTTGTCTCCCAACTGCAGAAGGGATGAGCTTTTTGCTGATTCCCCCATTCCACTGCAGGCCTCCTTGTTGTGCTGTGTGCCTTCCTGAGGGTACCCAGCCCTGACAGCAGCATTTTCGGGGACATAGTGGGAAAGGGGAGGTAGGAAAGATCCTCATAGTCCTCTGGATATACTTGTTACTGGATGGTTTATGTTGAAGAATAATTTTACTGCTATTTTCAAATATGGTTTTGCTGCTGTTTAGTTATTGTGGTTTTAATATTAGGTTGCAAGCCATCTTTTACCTATGGAAAAAGTTGGGGAATTAATACATTTTATCCAACATAGAATTTTTATTCAGTTGTTATCATAGCTTCTTTTGTCAGCAACAGGTCACTATCAAGCTACTAATAATAATGTACTTTCTTCTGTCTTTTAATCAGGAGATAATTCTTTGGAGAAAAGCTCCCGAGAAACTGAGGAAACAACGAACCAACTTTCACCAGCGATTTGAAAGTCCAGAACCACAAGCAACTGCAGAACAGCCTGAAATGTGAACTGGGTGTTGGGGGGTGGTGGTGAAAGAACTGTCGATAGATTAGCAGGTTAAATGGTGGTAACAGCCTGTAGGGAAGAAGGCCAAATTTCTCATTACAACAGTCTTCCTTTGTCTTACAGTGCTGCATTTCCCACACTACTAAAACATTCTTCAAGTAAACATTCAAATGTGTACATACATTTAAAATAAGTGCTTTCTCAAACACTGGAACTTTCTTAATCTATTTTATACTGCATATTTTATTTTTGTCTGGTGTGATGCACTCAGATATGCATAAAGCTTAAAAGAAATCTAGTTATGTGTTTCCATGCATGTAGGCTGGTGCATTTGAGTTTTGCTTATCATTGATGAGATAGACTAAAGCATTTCTTCTTCCTATACCACATTTCATATCATACATCTTCAGTGTCTGTTACTTGTATCCTTGGAAACCAATAAAAATATGATGGCCTAAAATGTCAATTTCAGAATTTATAATAGGGTTTTGTCTTAAAGCTATTCTATTGCTCCCCTGAAAGTATCTAATATGTACAAAACATTATGTATTTGCTGGCATAATTTTGAGACCATACTATGTTCCAACTTCCTATTTTTCTGCTTAACCTGGTAGGCAAACTTCTTCCTGATCTCAGTTTTGTAAGAGGGGATTCTGCTTGTCTGATTAGTTTCTTAGCACTTCCATTCTAATAATTCTGTTGTCTAGCTCAAAAGCCCCTAAGAAGGCTTATTACCTTACAGGTAAATGTAGATGTACAGTGTCACATGGAGGGTAAGATGTGTGTGAATGTTTTAATACAGCTTTTATTAATTCAAGTATTGAATTCCAGGTCACATGCATAAAACTCTGCTCTCCTTGCACTCAAACCCACACAGATTCATCTTATCATTTTTCTTTAAACAGCTCCAAATGAGAGAAAGCTGTGTGAGTGTGAGCTTACCTGAACAATTTCTTCTCTGCCCTTCTGTAATGAAAGCAAATTGGGGCTTACAGAAAGGTATAGTTTTACGAACTGCATCCCAAGCACGTATTAAAAGTCTGTATAGTGGAGCATCAGAACATTTAACACTCTGTGAATATAGTGCATTTGGACAAATCTCAGTCACCTCCAGGTGTTTCCACATGGGTTGTTTTTTTGCCCTAGACTCAATGCTGTGGGGAAGCATGGTTTTTCCTTCCCCACAGCATCGTGGTACATTTCCTGGGTTTTCTCCAGTCTTTTCCAAATCTTCTTCACTGTGAAGTTTCAGGAATGACTGCAGCAAAGTCTGGGTGGCTGCCATGTGGGTGGAAAAGTCTGGACTTTCCAGTCCTGCCCACAATGCAGCTGTTTTCCCTGCAGCAGCTATTCTCTCACACTATCACCAGGGCTTTTTTCTTTTCTTAAAAACTAGCAATTAAATAGCATTATCGTGTATGCCATTTTACCAATATATTAATCAGAATCCCTGAATTAGCAGTTTGTTTGTTTGTTTTTAAGTCCCTGGCCCCTTTCATTGTAGTCATTAGGGAAGAAAACACATTTCCAAGGAAAGCGGCAAGAGACTTTTTAGAAGTATGGAAGCTGGTAATTCAGAGAACGTGATGCATAGGTTGGTATACTGATATAATGCTATTCAGTAACTGATAAGGGAAAAAACCCTACCAGGGAAACCCCATTGGTGCTGGTGCTGTAAGTAGCCACAGCAGCAAAAGGGGAAACTATGCAAGCCTCTCCTCATGTGGAAACATCTTCCTCTCTCCCCAGTTAAGCATGTTGTCTATTTTCAGAACACACTGTATGTGTTGGGCACCACATGGAACCTGCTGAATGGAAGGCTTCTCACATTTGTAGTTCACTTGGCCTATATACCAAGAATGTTTCTAAACTTCAGTGCAAGTGTTATTGGTTACCTTACTTTATGAGTAAGCAAAATTACTAAATCTGTACTTCTGTAAGAACTGTTTTCTTACTCTGGCACTTTGATAAAAGCAGTCAGATACTGCTAGCTAGGATGCTTCTGTTAATACAGCTGCCTGTGACTGAGAGAACTTAACTCCCTCATGTAAGTGCCTGTTCAGAATCTCAGAAGAAAAGCCAAATATTTTCATGGACACTTGCATGTTGCAATCTGGAAACTATTCTAAGAAATTTTGAAAACTGATTGTATTTAACCAGCCTCAACTTGTGCAACTGTGTATAATAGTCATAATGAACTGCTATTTGAATTATTAAAAATAGCTGTATTCTCACTAAAACATCTGAATTGTGTTTACTTACATACTGTGCCAACGTGCTTCTGTTAGTTCTATTTAATCTCGTATTCTGTTACTTGATGCCTTGAAGTCACGCTCGGGAGAGCCAGTGTGGTGCAGTGGTTAAGAGTGTTGGACTAGTATCTGGGAGGACCCAGATTTGAATCCCTACTCATGCCATGGAAGCTCACTGGTTAATCTTGGTAAATCACACTTTCTCAACCTAATCTACTTCATAGGATTGTTGTGAGGAAAATAATGTAAGCTGCTTTGGGCCCCCATTAGGGAGAAAGGCAGAGAACAAATGAATTAAAAGGGTATCATTTAGGAAACAATCCTAAACAAGTCCACTCAGAGTAAGTTCTATTATATTTAGTGGGGCTTACTCCCCAAAAAATACTTGTAGGATTCCACTGACCTATTGAGTGGGGGGGGTTTCGTTTGACTTGAGGACTTTTTGCTGTGAGTGTCCCATGACTCAAGAGTGGGTACAAAATTTAATAATTAAAGTTGAAGCTTTTCGTACAGGGATTAGGTGTATTTCATATATTGCCCTTAGGATGACTGCTTGCTCTCACAAGTAGACTTGTTAAGTTGGTCCAAGGTGTATGTACCATTAAGGGGAGGGCGGGATACAAATCCAAAAAAACCACAAGTAACTGGAAATAAATTCTGAGAAAACAATTCTTAAATAGCTTCACATCTAGATACACTAGCCCCAGTCCAGTGCATGTCAAGACCCCCCCCCCCCCACATTTTAGAATGGCTTTTCCCATTCACTTTCTAATGCAGGAATCCCTATCCAATCACTCTGGCAACTTTCCTGTTAAAGCACATACCAAACTCTGGACTGGAGCAACTATCAAACTGTTTACAAGGTCAACCTGGTACACATCTGGGAAGTATATTGCATTAGATGGGGAATACTTAAGTCAGTGTGACAGACCTGGTATGTTATCACTTAGTCTCAAATCTAGATTGTTTTAAACATGAGGGCACAGCACCCTTAAGTTTCTACTTAAACACAAAGTGTTGTGTGTTGGGGCTTTTTTTTTTTGACAGCTTCTGAAGTGAAAGATATTTTCTAGGGGTTTGTACATTTAAAAATTTGAAATTGTCTTTTGTAAGGCATCATGATTAAGTAATCCTGAGTATGCAGTGTTGTCTAGATGGAAAGGAGTCTTACTGAATCAACGTTCTTTAAAAATATTTTTTAAAACCCCACCTGCCAGGTATTTAGTGAGCGAGCCGCAAGACTTGGCTAATGATAGACTAGTTCCTGACATTCTCTTCGGCATAAACTGTGGCATCAGAACCGGCGATAATATGGAGTGGCTGTGCGGGGTTCTTTTATGGGCATATCTTTTCCTTTTTCCCGGAAAAAAAACCCCCCCCCCCCCCAAGCAATTCAAACCTATTGCAGCCCAACAGATACAGCGTCAGATGCTAAGAATACATCGGGGGCGTTTCTGGCCTCTTAACAGTTGTTGGCAGTCCGGGTTCTCTGCTGTTACTTTTCAGAGGGGCGCGAGCAGAAGGAGCACCAGGTAGCTGCAAAGCCTGTTTTCATCCAAAGACGTTAACAACAGCATGGTGGCTGGCGCTTCCGTATTGCCACGGACATCCTTGGATATGCCGACGAGCGCATGATTATGTGGGGGACTCATCTCATGAATGTGCCTGACACGAGAGAACCACTCGCGAGTCGCGCTTTCCCTTTTACTTAATGCGCGGAGTGTGCGCTACATTTGGCCCTCGCGCAGCCGCGGGAAAAGCGTTGACTCGTGTAAGCGCTGCACGGCTGCCCACTATTGCAAAGCTCACGTGCACCGCTAGCAAGCCGGCGATCTCAGGGTTTGTGGGCACACGTGGGTGGCTGTCCGACTCGCCGCCTGAGGAGAGTGAGTGGGGTAATGAAGGTCGCCGCTGCTTGGACTGAGAGTGGTGGCAGAGGAGAGCCGCGGCCGTACCTTGGGTCCCTTCAGTTCGGCTAAGCCTCCCCAGCCATCTACGCCGCTTGAAGCGAGTCTCCCCGCGCCCTCAGGCACTTGAGTAGTCGTTCAATAGGGGCCTGGGTCGCCCGGCGGTGACGCAAGAACAGTGCGCCGAAGGACTCCTAGCATTCTGTTCTCATGTCTGTGAGTCGCTGCGCGCGGCTCTTGTCTCGCCTCCGCCATGGAGGCGCCGTGGTTCTTCGGGGCCGGCAGAGCGGCCCGAGCCGGGCAGCCACAGGAGGAGCCTTCTCCACCGCTTCGTCCAACGGCCGCGACACAGGCGCGAAAGCTCCGGACACGTCCTTGTTCGTGCCGCTCCCCGTGTCCCTGGAGGCGCCTGGCCTCGCGGGGGATGTCGGTGCCGAGCTCACGTGCCCGCTCAATAAGAGTAAGCGACGGCGCTTGGGCGGGAGACGGACGCTTTGGGGCCCCGCTGCTCGGCCTCTTGCCATCCTGTTTCGGCTTTTGATGTTTGGCTGTGAACTCTGATTGTTTCTGGCAAACGGTCGTTTGGGCAGTGAGAGTCATCTTGCAGTGGTCAGAGCTGTCCTGGGGAATCCTGCTCTACCTCGCCAGGTTATTGTGAGGATGAAATGGAAGAGGCGAGACTGCCTGCATACACAACACAGTAGATACGTGTTGGCCTTAAGGCGCTGTGGTAACTATATTGTTTGTAGGTCCCCTCTGAGTGGTTTGTATTTTTCTGTAAAGAAGGCATAGCCAGCTGGCAGTTTGGTGGCAACATATTTATTATGTACTTTATTTATTCTGCCTTCTCCTCAGTGGGGGCCAAAGCAGCCTACATTGTTTTCCACTTCTCCATTTTATTCTCACAATAAACCTGTGAGGTAGGTTGTAGTGACTGCCCAAAGTCACCCAGCAAGCTTCCATGGCAGAGTAGTGATTCAAACCTGCGTCTTCCAGATCCTACTCTGACACTCTAAGCACTTTACCACACTGGCTCTCAAAAGGCACATCTGCACATCTCTTGAGGTTGTTCCAACTTTTTAATCACAGTGTGATAAACCTTTTTTCTACATAAGGAGTTTCTGTACGTATTCTGTCATTATGCACAAACCCAGCAAGCCCAGTTTGGTGTAGTGGTTAAGTGCGCAGACTCTAATCTGGGAGAACCGGGTTTGATTCCCCACTCCTCCACTTGCACCTGGCTGGATGACCTTGGGCAAGCCATAGTTCTGATAAGAGCTGTTCTTGAGAAAGAACAGTTTCTGTCAAGAGCTCTCTCAGCCCCACCTACCTCACAGGGTGTCTGTTGTGGGGAGGGGAAGGGAAAGGAGTTTGTAAGCCGCTCTGAGACACCTTTGGGTAGTGAAGGGCGGGGTATAAATCCAATCTCTTCTTCTTCTTCTTCTTCTTTCAGGAAACACACTCCTTTTGCGGCTTCATTCCTCCAAATCAATGCCGCAAATTTTGTTAGTCTTTAAGGTGCTGTTGGACTTTTGCTCTTTTCCACTGCTAGAGACAGACTAATATGGCTTACCCGTCTTGATCTATCAGGTCATTAGAATGCTTCTACTCTGTATTGTGAAACTCTTACTGCTGCAGGATGCCAACTGTATTGTAGAGCCTGACCACCCACAAAGTGTCAGATATTCCCCTCCCCATTGCTGTTTAGAAAACTTTGCCCAGGTATTCAGAAATCATCCATCCCTAATCTAAAGGGCCCTAAGCAGGAAGGGACTGGGCATTAGCTTATTGGGAAATTGTGTGTGTGCTATGAAAACATTTCTTCTCCCCAGGAGAGCTAAAGAAGGGTTTTTTTTAAATGATACATGCTTGATGACAACTCTTTTCTTACATTTTATCCATGTTTATATAAATAAGATGATACCTTTTGTGGTTTTTTTTCTAGGTGAGGTCCTGAAAGTCCTGAATAAATTTTACAGGAGGAGAGAAATACAAAGACTAGGGGCAGAAAATGGACTAGATGGTATGAAATGCTGAAGATGTAGTAAACTGAATGTTGCTGGATGTTTCATCACACTTTGAGTGAATGACATGTCTGGGTTTAGTCTGTTCTTTAATCTTCAGTTGTTCTGAGCATGACCTATTTTTGAAGGTGCTTGGCTAAGGCATACATTGTTTAGACATTAGTTCTTGAAAAACACAGAGTTCTTCACTAGGGATGCCAGCCTCCAGGTGGGACCTGGGGATCCTCCAGAATTACAGCTCATCTCCAGGCTACAGAGATCAGTTCCCCTGGAGAAAATGAAAGCTTTGGAGGGTGGACTCTATGGCATTGTAGCCCACTGAGGTCCTTGTCCTCCCCAGGCTCCACCCCCAAATCTCATGGAGCTGGCAACCCTATTCTTCACTTACCTTTTTTTGAAAAGCTCTGTGGCAATTTGCATCGATTGCCATTTCACTGTGAAAGCAAAGTACACTGCAATTAGTGAACTTTATTAAGAGATTATTTAATGTATTCTTACTAGGGCTTTGTTCTAAATTTTAGGAAGTACAATGCTTGTATGTAACACTGAGCTCCTTTTTCTTTCTCCTTTTACAGCCCGTCTTTTTCATCAAGCATTTATAAGCTTTAGGAAATACATCATGGAATCTAGTTCATTGAGCCCAGATGTGCACATTATTCTAAATGATATATGTTGTGGGGCAGGTAAGCATAAGGAATATCAAGTGATTTCATTGTCATACTTTAAAAAAGATATATGAATTGGTTAGATTTAGGGACAGGCCTTTAAATG